CTTTGGGAGGCTGAGGTGAGTGGATTGCCTGAGCCCATGGGTTCGAGACCCACCTGGGCAGAGAGACCTCATCTCTACAATAAATCAAAAAATCAGCCGGGCGTGGTAGCGCATGCCTGTAATTCTGGCTACTTGGAAGGCTGAGGCGGCCACTCACTCCAGTCTGGGCGACAGAGTGAGACTCCAACTCAAAAAAACAAACAATAAAAACACAAAAATGGAAGTCATCGTGTATCTTCTAAAGATGGGCAGACTTTAACTTAGAGTTCTGAACACTTTTAATTGGCAAATAAGAGTAAAAACTGGGCATTACTTATCCTGAAAGGCAAGTTTATTCAAGAAAAAAAAAACTAGTTAGGAAATAGCCACAGACTAGTCAATTTATCATCCTTTTGTCCTGGAAAGTTAGCCTTTTAAGGACACTTCAGTGCTATTTGGTTCCCTTGAAAGGAGCTAATATAAATAGTCATTCTACCTTGGTTTTTCATTATTTCATTTCATTTTGTTTTGGTTGTTGTTGCTCTTAGTTCATTTGTTAATATGCTTTTATCTCCTCATAGTCAAACTTAGGTTTTAGAAGTTTTGGGAATTCAAGACAAGTTGCCTGCCCAATATCGTCTATGTACATTCAACTCTCAAAAGCAATGAGTCAGACATATATGCAATTAGAGGAGTGTTTCCCCAGCAGGAGAACAAATTCCCTTTCTTGGCAAATGCCTTCCCTTTGCAGAAGTTACAACAACTGAACAAAATGTCACTACAGTTTCCACTTACCTTTTTTTAATCCTATAGCTATTTTTTTACTATTGTCTAAATACATAATTGCAACTAGCTTAAAAAAGATCAATACTTTTTTAAAGCATAAAAATACCCATACTTCTATAAACTATTGAGAGGTGCCGAGTATATTGCTCAGTGGTCAACCAGAAATGAATACTTGTTTTATTCCAAATCTGAGAAACAAAAAGCTACCTAGTAGCCTTTAATTCTTGACAAGCAAGAACATTAAGCACAGTTAGCCACAGTGGAAGACATTCTTGGTTGTTTGAAGCACCTACAAGAGAGGGTGAGACACCTATCAACAGTGAAAGAAATCAAAAGAAAATAATACCAGGATTGCCAGCTCTGGAACAACTGGAGCCAAATCCTACCTGTGAAGATCTACAGAAGGCTTATTAACCATAGATATTTTTTAGAATTGTCAAGACTTTGCTATTCAAACTGTGCATAGATTATCTACATTGGCAAGACCTTAGAATCTCAGGCCCTACCCAAGACTACCTGGTCAGAATGTTAGCAAGATCATCAAAAAACGTCTGCAGTACTGGTTCTCAAACTTCAAGACGTATTAGAATTGCCTGGGAATCATTAGAAAATACTGATGCTTATGTCCCACCCCAGAGATACTGATTTTAAGAGGTATGTGCAATCTGGTTATCAAGAGCTTTTAAAAGCTCTCCAAGATGATTCTAGAATGCAGCAAAGGTTGAGAACCCTGGTATAAAGGGCAAGGTTAAAACAAACAAATACACAGAAACTTCAAACTTGTCATTTCTAAACTAGTCAGTAAAACTTGGCAAACTCCCAGCTTCTAGCTAATGCTTCTTTGAGAAGCTTGGCTTGGCTGAGTGTGCATTTGATAATAGCCCCATAATCGCTTTTCCCATTTGTTTGATTAATGCACTCGTACACAGTGATTCTAGGCTGAATCTCTATTCTCGTAGGTGTGCACACACTTCTCAGCTCTGTAGTGTCATTTTCAACCCCAGCGTTTCGACTTGATGAGCCTCAGTGTGAGTTTAACAAAGTAACCTTTCTGACAGACCTGGATTTTTCTAATAGTTGCTGAACTCAGTTTTCATGTTTGGTGGCATGTGGCAGTTCCCCTCTGTTAATTAGAACAAATGTGCCAATTATGTTAATGTTTCTCCTGATACCAATCAGTGAATAATTAGACACAACACATCTATCTTTCACAGGGGAATAGAATAGGAAAGAAAACTGCAAGGTGCTCCGCTCTTTGTTATTGACATATATGATTAAACAATTCCTCCACCAATCACAGAGTTAACAAGTTCATGTATCTAAAGGGCAAAGGGTGCCAATAATGACTTTTGGGGTATCTCTCATTGGTCACATGATTCTGACCAAAGTTCAACTACCTCTGAAAGGTCTGCAAAGATTTTAAGTGGTCTTTCCTTCCATTTTAACAACAAAAATAAATTACATTGCCCTATTGGTAAAATGCAAGGATGTTATTTACTTATCCTTAACTATGGAAATAAGTAAGTTCTTAAGCAGAAGTATTTAAAACTCTCAAGAAAATTCAGCTTTATTGATATAAAAGATCACATGGAAAGAGAACACAAAATTCAGCCTTTAGGATCATGTCAAAGGTGTTGCAGACATATGTAAATCATGATCAGATTATAATTTGCTAGAATTTCTGTGTATATGTTTCCATGCATCTAAACTTTGAGTCTTCTGAGTAATGGAAAAATATTGATTTTTTTCTATTGTCATTTTATTGGTATTTGCATTCCATATTTGGCAGGATTTTAGAGAGAGATGGAGTTGTAGTGAAATTATTTCAAAATATAAGCAGCACCTGCTTGTACTGATTCTAAAGACACATGAAATCAACACTTTAGTCATCTTGAAGGTAGTCAAAGTGTGTCCTAAGACAAAGCTTTTGTTTAGTTTAGAATTTAAAGTATATACTTTCTGCTCAATATGTCTCATATTCATAATGTTTAATAATATTCAACTGTGCACTTTATCATCTAAAGGTAAATTGACATCATTTGTTACCATAATGTCTTGATTGTATTTTCAAATATATTGTCCCTATTGTTTTATTAGAAACAGTTGGTCAAAAAATAAGATGTCAGGTTATAACAATAATAATGTGAGGTTATCAATTGTCTTTCTTACTGTGATATACATTTGCTTTTCTTAAAAGGAACGACTCAGAGCAGACTTTTATTGTATTTGAAAATAGTTGTAGGCCGGGCTCGGTGGCTCAGCCTGTAATCCCGTGCCTTTGGGAGGCTGAGGTGAGTGGATTGCCTGAGCCTGCGGGTTCGAGACCCGCCTGGGCAGCGAGACCTCATCTCTACAGTAAATCAAAAAATCAGCCGGGCGTGGTAGCGCGTGCCTGTAATTCCGGCTACTCGGAAGGCTGAGGCGGAAGGATCGCTGGAGCCCAGCAGGTCGAGGCTGCGGTGGCCGGGAGCGGCCACTGCACTCCAGTCTGGGCGACAGAGTGAGACTCCAACTCAAAAAAAAAAAAAAAAAAAAAAAAAAAAAGAAAATAGTTATGGTTGCCAGTACTAGAGTCAGATGTTCCTAGAAAACTCGTAATATACGGATCATACTGGAATACATTCCTTCTGCCCAGGGCATTGGAAGCAATTAAGCTTAAAGAAAGAGGTCATAGTTGATGGCTGCCCAAAATATATGTCTTTTGTTTATAAAAATATGAACATAGTTATATTTTTTTAAACTTTTTTTTTTTTAGTTGTGGTCTCACTTTGTCACCCAGGCTGGAGTGCAGTGACATGTTCATGGCTACTGCAGCCGTGGCCTGCTGGGCTCAGGTGATCCTTCTGTCTCAGTCCTCCAGGCTTTCTACTTGCCTGGAACTACAGGCGCATGCCACCACACCCAGTTGAAATTTTGATTTATTGTAGAGACGAAGTCTAGCCAAATTGCCCAGGCTGGTCTCAAACCCCTGTGCTGAGGTAATCCTCTCACCTACACCTCCCAAAGTCCTGGGATTACAGGCGTAAACTACCATCCCCACCCTATTTTTTTTTTAACTTTTACTAGCAAACTATGAAAAAAACTACTGGAAATAAATAATGTTTGGAAAATAAGTGTCTTTTCCAAATGGGGTCCCAAATTCTAAATATAAGAACACAATGAGAAATTTTGGAATTTGTCTTAGGTAGCCTAGCTTTTATGATGTTTCATGAGAAGAATGGGAGGCGAGTGAATAAAGGTGAGAAAAGGAATATAGTAAATCAAGGTAAAACTGAGGATTATAATTTATCTGGTATTAAATTATGAGCTATAAATGAATAATCCATTGGCAATGTTAATGCATTTTTCTCTATCTTTTCGGGTGATATATATCAAAAAATAAATTTAAACTGAGGAACAAAGTATTTAGAGAAGAGGTAATAGAGTTTTTTTTTAAAATATGAAGGTGTTGAATGCTGGAATATCCACTACAAAAAAATTAAGGAAGCCTGAGCCATTGAAAAATGATCTCTATGTTTTGCTGCAAAACTTCTCTTTCCCTGACAGTACTTATACAGCCAATAGTTCTGGCTTTTATAAAATAGCAGCAACAGTGAAACTATAAAACCTCGCATGTAGGAGCCATTAAAAAGTTGCTCCTTAAATCACACCACACACAAGTAGAGATGGCAGTTTTATACAACTTTTCTGAAAACATACACTATAGACTCAATATGTTCCAGTCCTAAAACCTGTAATCAAATTAGGAATTACTCATCTTCATTAATAAAATCATGTTACTGTTTTGAGAGCTCTATGTCAGACTGCAGGTGTCAATAGAATTGAATGACCACATTGTTGAAAGGATTTCTAAACATTTTTTCCTGAGCTGGGAACTGGTCCTCATGGAGGAAGCCTAGAAAAATATGACATCTCTTCTGGCGTATGTACTAGAAGGGATTGAGGCGTAAATAAGTGGAAACTTCCCTCATCGAGAGAGTTTTATGAATGAAGATGCATAAACCACCACCTATAGTCCTAAGCAGTGGTAAATTGAAAGTCGGATTTCTCCCCGGTGTTTTTTTGAAGCTATTATGAATTTGCAGATATGTACTTCTTAATAGAGACGCTAAGGGGCACTGAATCATCAGTGTTTAAAATATATTTATGTAGATGTATTTTAATCTATTTGGGATAAAGTTAGTACTAAGGAAGAGGCAATTAAATTAAATTGATTGACTATCTCCTAATTCCAGGTGCTTTCCCTTCCATATCTTATTAAACCCTCCTACAACCGGGAGGAATGATGCCTCCCACTGTACAGGTGGAGATTATGATTCTGGAAGCTCAGCGTCTACACAAGGCTGTAAACTCAATTAGTGAGAAGGCTGGGACACAGAGCCAACTCTAACTGCAAAGCATTTTTGTTTTCTTATAACAGAAAAAGAATGTTATTGACTGTACATTTTTGAAATTTCCTTCATTAAAATGCCACAAATTGTGTGTGTGTGACTTTATTTGATGAATTTTTATAAGCTAATTAGTCGTTCTTCAGGCAAAAATGTGTTTTGGGAAAAGTTATTTATTTTAAAAAGTGTTACATCCATCTCATCAATTTTCTAGAATTAGAACAAGCATATTTTCCACATTGTTATTATTTACACATACCTCATGAAACAATGAAAATTTTAGAATATAAAAGAGAAATTAAGCTTGACTTCAGAGTCCATTAATGACTCTATTATTTAAGAAAAATAGGACTGTGAGGACCAAGTTTATGGAGAGAGGACCAATGTGAGGAGATGCTGTGATGGATTTAGCACCCATTATGCTTTTTATATTTGTTGAGCATCCAGATAGAATAATCTAGGAAGTAATTGGAAATGTGAAAGGAGCTTAGCAAAAATCAGGACTGAAGGTAATGATTTTTTGAGTTATCAACCGAGAATAAATGAAATCACCCAGCCTGTGAATATCATCATCTTCTTGTTCTCAAACCTGGCTGCACATTGGCATCCCTTGAGGGGCTTTTACAAACACTGATGCCTGGGCCCAATTAAATAAGAAGCTCTGCAGATGGAGTCCAGGAACAAGAATGTCTTAAAAGATTTCTGGGTGATTCTAATGCAGAACAAAAATACGAACCACAATATAAAGTAGAAAGGGAGAAACTGAATGGGAGATCCCCGAGAAGGACTATATGAAAATGGTGGGTGTTATCAAGGAACCAGTGAGAGAGATTTGCAAAAGAATAGATAATCAGTGGCAAGAAAAGTGGCAAAGGGAGACTTTTCAGAGGGGCAACAGAGCAATTTGCCACAGAGAGGGCAATGAAGAGACGATGCCTTTAGATTTGTCAATGAGGGAGGCACTGGTCACCTTTTGGGGTTTTTATTGAGGGGAAAGGTCTCACTACCTTGTCCAGACTGTTTTTGAATTCCTGGGCTCAAGAGATCCCCTCACTTCAGCCCCCTGAGTAGCTGGGACTACAAGTGTGTGCCACCATGCTCCACTCGTCACCTTTGAAACTGAAGCTTGAGTACAATGGTGGACATGAATCCAGAAAACGGCAAATGGCAGAGTGAATGAGCAGGTGGATAGAGCACGACTGTGAATATTCTCTTTCAAGTAGCTTTAGCCACAAAGGAGAAGCCTGAAGCATAGCTGGGGAGGGTGGGCCTGTCGGGGGTAATTTTGTTGTCAGTTTGTTTTTAGGATGGAAGAGACATGGATATGTCTCTGGATTACTTGAGACTCAAAAGAAAGAGCTTTGGGGGAAATTTGTATTTGGGGGGCTATTTGATCAGTGGGGGGAAAAAGAGATGTGTCATCTGCTCAGATTAAGGAATATCACAAAAGTATTTCAGTACTTTGTTGATGACTCAGGACCTCAAAAGGCCTAAGAGATGGAAGATTAGGAAGTAACCAGTGACTGAATTTCTGAGTGCCAGGTTTCAATTGGGCATGGTCTTGGGAGTGGTGCGTAAACCTTCAAGTTTCCTTCTTCTGGATAAATGTTCTGTTTTTCCTATTTGCGAACACTTTTCAGCTAGAGTAGGATGACTTTATTTTTGTTTGTCTTCTCTTGATTGAATGTTGAAAAGGACTCACAATGTGAAGATTGCTCCTTACAGAATTATATCACCATGTTACTTAGCATCCTCAACACGCAGCATGTTGCCTAAGAAAATAGCAAATCACAGTCTTCAGTTAGATTTAACACAGTTAATCATGGCATCTGTGTATGTGTAAATAGATGGTGTCTTTAGGTCAGAATTTAATAGGATGATGTTAGGGTAAAAAAAAAAAAAAAATGTACTCTTAACCAGGCTCTGTGGTTCAACCTGTAATCCCGTGCTTTGGGAGGCTGAGGTGAGTGGATTGCCTGAGCCTGCGGGTTCGAGACCCACCTGGGCAACTTGGCGAGACCTCATCTCTACAATCAATCAAAAATTAACCGGACATGGTAGTGCAGGCCTGTAGTTCCAGCTACTTGGAAGGCTGAGGCAAAAGGATCACCGGAGCAGGTCGAGGCTGCAGTGGTCGGGAGCAGCCACTGCACTCCATTTCTGGGGGACAGAGTGAGACTCCAACTCAAAAAATAAAACGTACTCTTTGAAAATATTTTTAAATATCTTTCATTTTGTGCTAGATATCATTCTTCCTTGTTTGTTAAACTACATCTTAATTTATAAAGTCATTTAATTTAATAAAGACACTAACTTAATGTCCTAGAATGAATTATTTATTCTGTAGAGGAGTAATCATGATACAACACCCACTTAAAGTTATATAGAAGTCCCCAAAAATGCTATCATACCTCACAAGAACATTATGAGGGAGTTAGGGCAGATGTTATTATTCTTATTGTAGAAATAGAAAAATAAGGTTTAACAATGTTATTATGTGACTTACTGAAGGTCAGAGAATCAGTGAATGGCACAGCTGGGTCTTATGCCTTCATTCTTAAAACTTGAATGTCTTTTGGCAAAATCTCATCAGCCTTCTAGAAAAATGCAGCGATATACATAACTGCAGGAGCATTCAGGAGAAATATATGGAGAGTTCTATTCATTAGTCTTGAACTCCCACTCCTATTACCCTGTTCTTTGGTCTTCCTAGTTCTCAGCCTTGTTTTTAGGATGGAAGAGCCATGGCATGTTCCTGGATTACTTGAGACTCAAAAGAAGGAAGGAGCTTTGGGGGGAGTTATATTCTCCACCGGCTGAGCTCCCTTCTCAATAACAGAACCACAGTTCTCTCATGTCCTAGTGTGGTGTTCTTTAAATTTTTTGCTAGCATGTCCTTAAAAGACTTAAGGTACGTATCCCTTTGCAGATTTTTAAAAATTAAATAGTGAGAAAAGATATGTCTGGATATATTATAACTATTTGGCATATTTAAATAAAACTATTAGATGACTTAAAGTTATCTAATGCAATGCAGACACCATCATTGTGACTTAGCATAATCAATTAACAAAATATGAGAACAAACTGCTCTTCAATAGTAGGAAAGTTTACAGTGATCCTTTTATTCTACTTTAACTTGTATTTCTGCACCATTTTCTTCCATAGAGTCTTTTTACCCTAATAGACATCATTTTAGGCATAAAAATTTTATTAATCATCATATTATATTTCTCTGTAATAAAAATTTGCTTATAAACTTTATTTTCCATGACCATAGGGATCAGAGTGTTAAATTTCTTCTAAGAACCCAAATGTACTACAAATTTTGATACTAATCATTTAGCATAAAGACTGAATTTTTAAAGGAAATATATTTTTATAATAAAACTGGAATTGCCATCCCACCTTTCTGACACAAGTAGTTCATTTAGCCATGTTTGAATGTTACTTACTGCTGAAATGAGACAGGATAAAATCAATTGTGTTTCTATCTGTCCTTTACAGTACAAATACTGAGAATCTTCTCATATATAAGTAAATAGGAATATGTGGAGTTGGGTTGTAACAATGCCACTCAACTTTTTGCACATCTTCCAAGTTATATGCCAAAAATCGCATAGTGACCTATCATCAAAATTTATATTCAGTGATTTATACCACCTGATTTGCAAAAAAAAATTTGTCATCCAGCTATTACAGTCTCTTATTTTCTCACCCACAACACTAATATTTCCAATGCTCTCATGCAATGCAATGTATGATGGCAAGATTTCAATGAAAGCGATGCCTTTTTTTTTGAGTAGAGGGCAAGTTCTTAGGGAGATTAGTTTTAAGAAGGAATACATATGGAAGTAAAAAGTATAAATCCTGATCTTCTTAGAAATATTTTTGTTTATGTAGACTTTAGAACTGTTTCCATACTGCTGGTTACTTGATTCCTAGCTTTGAAATCCTACTGGAATCCAGTTTAAATTCCTAGCAACTTCAAATTCCTCTTTATCTAAACCAAAAAGTCTTCCCTTAGTCATTTATATGATATGTGTTATGATATTTTATATGATTTACTTTATGTTATTTCTCCAGGTCATTTACATGTGAAGAGATCTTAATGGTGGAATTAAAAATTGGTCTCTCTTAAAGCCATTTCAAGTCACTGCCAAAAGAAGTTTGGGAAGGAATTTTGTAGAACAAAGAAGCTTTCCTGATGTCTTTAAAATCAAATCACACTCGGTTTTAGTGCTAGCTTTGAAAGCAAATCTGCATTTGTCCTGTGAGTGACAAGGTTGCAGTGATAACAGAAGATGCATCGAATGCCTCTTTTCTTTTATGTTTTTTTATTTTTCTTTTATTGATTGATAGATTTTTGTTAGAGACAGGATCTCACTGTGTCACTCAGGCTGGAGTGCAGTGGCACAATCATGGTTCACTGCATTCTTGAACTTCTGGGCTCAAGTGATCCTACCACCTCAACCTCCCAGTAGCTGGGACTACAGGTGGAAGCCACTGTGCCCAAGATAGCCCAAGCCTAAGTCCTGGAGTGACTAAGAGGTTTGTGTCCTGGTGTTCCAACTTTTCCCAGTCACCATCTCATGATTTTCAGGTGCTCAATCTGTAGCATTATGGTTGTCTCCTCCAGTTCTTTGCTTTGTAGATTGGGAAGAGCCTAGAGCTCAGGTTGTCCTGAATTCAGATCTCTGCTCCTTTATGAGCTTTGTAGACCTGTGCAACTTCCTCTTTATTAGTGTCATCTTTCTCATCTCAAAGTTGGGACTATGAGAACCTCCTTCCCAGAGCTGTTGTGAGAAATAAAGATTAATTATATGAATACCTACCTAGAATGAGCAACAAAAGTTCCTTGTTTTCCCTCCTTTTTTTTTGAGTTGGAATCTCACTCGGTCGCCCATACTGGAGTGCAGTGGCCACTCCTGGCCACCGCAGCATCACCTGCTGGGATCTGGCGATTCTGCCGCCTCAGCCTTCCGAGTAGCTGAAACTACAGGCATGCGCTACCACGCCCGGCTGATTTTTTGATTTATTGTAGAGATGAGGTCTCACTGCCCAGGCGGGTCTCGAACCCGCAG